GTTACTGGACGTTTCCCTCATCCTATACGTAAACAACAATTAGCAACATCCTCACATACTACTGTAAGTTGAGTCAATTCAAATTCATTTTACACCTTTGTTGCTACTGTTATCATTGTAATTGCAGCTCCTGATGATGATGGCAAAGTCCATTGAAAGCTAGAGAGAATTAAAAAAAGTATAAAGAGTCCTCTTTGGCATCAATAAAGCTATCATTATAACGTCAAACAGTTTTAAAAAAGAAATCAAATCATGGATTACACAGGAACCAAGGAACTCGATCCGTAAGTTTATAGACATTAAAAATCGTTCTTATCTATATATATATATATATATATATATATATATATATATATATAGATAAGAATAAAGCTATCATTATAACGTCAAACAGTTTTAAAAAAGAAATCAAATCATGGATTACACAGGAACCAAGGAACTCGATCCGTAAGTTTATAGACATTAAAAATCGTTCTTATCTATATATATATAGGAACAGGAACAGGAACCAAGGAACTCGATCCGTAAGTTTATAGACATTAAAAATCGTTCTTATCTATATATATATAGATAAGAACGATTTTTAATGTCTATAAACTTACGGATCGAGTTCCTTGGTTCCTGTGTAATCCATGATTTGATTTCTTTTTTAAAACTGTTTGACGTTATAATGATAGCTTTATTGATGCCGGTCTATGATTGCAAAACTTTGGACTAAAAAGAGAAGAGACCTTTGACCGATGGTTTTTATACATTTTCGCACAGATAGTTTTGTCTACTACCTTGTTTGGTAGTTGTGATTGATAGGACTTAGGTGCTGCATCTTATTTTTAATTTGGTACCCCAATTCATTGTAAAGTAGATTTGTCTAACGTCTGGAAGTTGGGCTTCTAAGGTTGGATATGTAATCTCCTTATGAAGGATCAGTTTTAGTATCCACTTCTATGTGATTTCAACCTTTTTATAGTGATTGTTCATGAGTACTCCATATGCCAACATACCATATGAAAGAATAGTGCAGGCAAGAGCATGGTAGAGAATATATAGTCTTTGTTCAAAAAATTTGAGTTTACTGTAATTTGGAGTCTTGGAGTCTTACATCACAAGAGAATACTATAAAGTGTGTCTGTTTATAATTTATAGTCATAGTTCTTTCTGAAACATATTGTATATTTATTGTAAAGTCATTTTCAATATCAGTTTTTAAGGTGTACTAATCATATGTCGTATGTCTGCCGCGCAACAGCATAGTGTTTTTAGTGTTTTTTACCTTCTGCCCGAGTTAAGCATGAGGAAGAGGCGACGTTTCCAAATGCACCACCGGTAGGGCAAGGAAATAGTGTCTATGGACTAAAGGTGGGTTCATGCAAGACTTAACGTAACTTAACTTAAGAAAATGAGCATTTAAAGCGCATGCGCGGCCAGGATTGCCAATGTAGCAATGGCGACAATATCAACATTAAACACACTAACAAAATCATATGTTTAACGTCAAGGTAGCAGATGAAAGAGAGTTTTGTGGCTTTTGTGTTGCGTGGACTGGCGGACCAGCCTTGACATTGACAAGTGGCCCCTCCCCACTCGCTTGCGCCAATGCACTGGTAATCAAGTCACAGAACTCGGATAATAGTCCAGATAATATCGAAACATCTGCTCGGAAAAATCTTCCGATTCCGATTTTTGCATAATCTGATTCAAGGACCTCTGTTAAAGAATCTGCATGTGACTAGGCCCAATATCGCTCCAAAAATTGTTATTAAAGCGATTCCAAAAATTGATTTGTTCGATTTGTTTATAGTATTTTGCGGTTTTTAGGACATTCTGGATAAAAAATGAGCTATAGAACATTTCTCTAGACTTGATATATACAGGTATAAGCAAGGTAAAAACTCAAAATATGTAATTTGCTACCCTAAAAACAATATGAAAAATGAATATTTTGATGTTGCCAAATCTCACACATGCTTCAACCAACCAATAACAAAACCCCCAGAGCATTTTAGGGAGTACAGTTATTGTAAATATTTGCATAGTAATTATGAATTGAATGCACGCTCAATGTATAGTCTATGTCTATGTGAACGCGAGAGGGAGATGAAATATCTCTCGTGCACGCTGAATATGCATTGAGCGTCCGCTTGCATATCAATTAAATACAAAGATTTTTAATAACCGTATCTCCTAAAAGGTATCGCAATTGTGTTAATGGTTATTTATGAAGCAGGGCAACATTAACATTTTCGTTTTTTCAGATAGTTTTTCGGTATCGCAAAATCAACTTTTTGTACTTTCCCATCTCGTACAAAATCAGCTTTTAACAAACATTGTCAAACATCGATTGTTTCGGAGTGTCAAAAAAACGAATACTACCTTTGATGAAGCGAAAACATTAATTTTTGGAATTTATTTGAAAAAGTTGTACATATAGTTAGAGACGCAATTTGGAGCCTGACAACATGTAGATTTGTTACTGGGAGGCTTTTTCGAATAACATGCAAAAAGTCCGAATCCGAATATTTTCCTGAGCAGATGTGAAGATATTTCTTGGACTATAACGACGGCAGCGCTACCATTCTTGGCTGGAAATCTGGTGGAACTAAAAATATTGAAAGTATGCCGACAACGTATATCAGGAATGTCAGGAATGTGTCGGCGATTTCATTTGTTTACATTACGAAATCTGACTGATGACCGTCCCGATATTGAGGCAGTTCGACGATCATAGATGCATAACACATCCTCAATAAAGGAAGTATTTCTTTCATCAGTTTGGCTAGTAATGAATTTCAGGATAATAAAACAATGTATAATTAAAAAAATATTTATTGAACAGTCCCAGCAATAATAGAACAAATTCTTCTACTCATCTGGATTTTTCTCTATATTATGAACCTGATCAGTCCAATATCATGCAAGCACACTCTCTTGTCAATTGATCATGTATGTTTATTGCAAAAACATAAATACTAAAATAACAATACATCTGTAGTTAGAGGACTGACTGGAATACAAATATAATCACTCTGATATGTGAATCAAAAATAGTTTTGCACACACTGTTAATGGGTAAAGGCAAACAAAATTGTCCTCAACAAAAAAAACACATAAAACACTAATTGTTTCTTCAAACTAGGAAACAAACTCCTTATGTCATTGACAATTAATTTGGTATCCATAAAATAAATGACGATCTTCACTCCAACTGTTTCCTCGAAGGATGTTGACACTGTGAAACAAAAAAAAAATATTAGCATAATATCACTGTCATATTTGGTCAGCAAACACTAAACAGAAACATAGTCATCTCACCACGCCCCTTCAGATGATACTGCTCTGTACATATGTGTAAATTCCCAATCTAGCAGTATACATTTGATTGCCAAAATTCTGTATGTAAGCAAATTTTCATTGGTGATACCAAACACCAGTCCTTAATTTGTCCCTTTACCAGATTTATTATTACCAACAGTACAGATGTCACAAAAAAAAGTTACGTGCTACTCATCTGTTTACCTCAATAAACTTCAAAAGAGATTACATATTTGGTGGGCTGCGAATACACAGCATTCGCCAGGTATACACGTGGTTCGTACATAGTTAATGACAAAGTACCTTCACAGTGTTCTGTGAGGTTTTGGAAAAACATGTCATGGGGGGCATGGCATAGATTTAAGTTCTCTTTTTTCTTCTGTAGGGGCTATAATTTGCCAACATCACCACTGGTACAGTCTCAGACATGAAAGTGTTTGCATCTATCAGCTATGAAGTCAGTACTACAAGCACAAAATTTTAAGATCATTTCCATTTTTTTTTTCGTTCTCTAGAATATAATTTCAAAATCCTCTATCTTGGTAAGGGGCAATTTAGGACCCATGTTTATTTTTTTCATGCTGTTTTTTGATCTACTTTATGCTGTAGCAATACTGATATGTTTTGCTGAAACTACCACTATACGCACTTTGTTAGGGGATGAAGTAAACATGACCACTGACTTTATTTATTATAATTTTTAACATCTCTGATTTTTTTATCAATCCGCCCCGATGTTCAGCTCTAAACTGTCATGCGTAAGCAAGCGCAAATAATTTTTCGTACAACTATCACCGAACCATCTGCCCATACAGCGATATAAAATCGATCAAACATTACGATATAAATATCGACTATCGACTTTTGTACAGTATCGATGGCTCGTACCAATCTTCTAATTCCAGCTGTAGCGATCAGCTGACCAACGCTAGTGATCCGATTGGTTGGTTCTTAAGAAAAAGTTCAATATATTGAACTTTATTTTAAGGAGTGACCTTGAATTAAGAAAACGACCATAACCTCAATATATTTAGTCATTTATGCAAAAATGAACTGATTTGGATACTTACTGCAACGTCATCATTAGGCGCTCCTCTGGCGATGTCCGATTGCGTTCAGGTGACTTCTCCAGGTACCTCTTCAACAAGGTCAGGAGTTGATACCAGCGCGGCTTGTCGTTTTTTTTTTGCTCTGGGCATGGCCATCCTCAATTAATCGCACAAAAAACAAGTCCAAGGCAGAAAAATACACCCGAAGACGAACACCAAAACAAATCTCTACCGCAAATTCGTCAACAACTCAAACAAAAACAACAGATGAGTCACCGCCTGGCTGTCTCGGTAAATCGTCGTGGAACACGAGACACCACAGAATTATTATAATTACGTCAATACGAGCATAGAACAGTATGGAAAGGGCTATCCAAGGGTAAGACGAGTTCCGAAACCACCCGAATCATGTCAAAAAATGGGTGTGACGTCACCAAAACGTTTGACCACCACTGGAAAGCGCTAGCTAGTTACTATCTGGAGGCGTAACATGTGGAGGACACTGGTGTTATTTCTACATTTCTAAATTGATTGATTTTTGGGCAACTGTCGGCAATGCGTTATATATATGGTACACGGTCCTTACATAGATTGCACGACTTTCCCGGCAACCCTGTATAAATTGTAATAGCACTATAATACCTCTCCGTCAAGTTCAGCAATCAATCTAAGACACCCATGAGCAGCCGGATGTGCAGGTCCAAAGTTGATCACCATATTCACAAACCTAAGTTCCTTGGGCAAACTCGTGGCATTGTACGGCTGCATTTTGAATCGTTTGGTAATTTCGTTGGGATACATTACCGGACCCTTGAACTGTTCGAAAAACTCGGCGTCTGGATACCACTTAGCACATCGCAGCTGTGTGCCCTGCATGAGAAAGGGTTTCAGTATGGGACTGCACTTGAAAAAGTTCATTGTCGCGATTAAGTCAAACACTCCTGTCAATCTTTCATTTGTCATACATTTAAAAATAGCAGTAAGGGCGGCTACGCATGCTACTCAATCTTGACAAGCATGGCTCAATTTTGCATACTTGTGGACTTAGGTACATGTAATAAAGTTTGCTCTTTTTCTCAATTACACACTTTCAAGTCTGTGCTTTGAAGTGTACCTGCGTGCTTTGCACTTCAAAAGAATACAGAATTACCAGTTGAAGAACCTCTGGTGGCTCAAATGCCACCTGCCAATTGGGAGCGATCACACATTCGTTACCTTCGGTAATAGTCCAGGAAGTATCTTCTCATCAGCACGGAAATATACTCTGATTAGTTTTTTGCACAACCTTAATAAGGAAGAAAAACAATTTTGGCGCAATTTTAAGTATGGCAACATGCTTATCCATTAAAAGAGATTTTTTTTGAATGAGATTATGCGAAATAATAATCAATTATTTTTCTAATAAGATGCGAGCATACTTACTTCTACTACCCAGGTAGTCGATGACCGGCCGTCGCGTCGGAAGTGGGTCGCGTGGCTATTGGCTATTTATTCACTATGACAACTTGATGCTGCGTGCCTGAATGCAAAATGAAGGAGGGAAATGGTGCTCCGAAGTTTCGTAGCATTGTTAGATAATGATTTCAGGCTAGTATTATCATTTCAGCATATCTGGAATCCGTTTTTCCATACAGGGGCTCAGGTCGAGGTATAATTGACCAAGGAGATCTGTACAAAATATATCTATGACCCATGAAAGTAACTGTGTCAAAAACGCGATATCACAACAATGTGCTTTACTTCTAATTTCTAAAATAACCCATCAAATGTATCAATTTGAAGGCTTGATAGTGTCTTTTAGGAGCTTCGTTGAATATGTTAAGGAATTGAAGGAAATCATTACAAATAACTTGTTTGAGCTGGCTTATGTAGGAGAATTACTAAAACCTGAAGTCCTGTGTGTCAGCTTCACTCACCCATGTGAACAGTTTTCAGCTGATCATTTTCTTTCACTTTATAAACATATCCGCATGCATTTTCAATTCAAAGATGTCCACTATAAGTGTAAATAAAGTTGATCCTAAATAAAGAACATTAACTCATCTATAGATTCGATAGGTGAGCCTTGAATACTTTTCTATCTTTGGTTAGTTAGTCTATTTAAATTTGAATGAACATCATACAAATAAAGATATTTCGCGAGTAAAAATGGCGCGAAAATGTTCAAGGCGACGTCATGGACTGACTCAAAATAACGGTACACCTGCATGTTACAGTTACATTATTTTGTACATTCGAGGTATCACTGGCATGTCATATACTCAAAAAATATTGCCATTTGATAATGTTTTGATGAAATTCATTGTTCAGCGTTTACTGACTGACTGCAATGGCGCATTTAAAAAAAAATATGTTTGGGATGGCACGATGTTAAAGTTAGAGGCAATTAAATTTTAAAGAGCGGAAGAGCGCGGGGATGGGGGTGGCGACTACATGCCCTTGTAACAGAATTGTCTCACAATTCAGATCTAATACGGTAATTTTACACCAGGACACAGCGGAATATACCAATTGTGGGGTAAAGTTGTGTAATTTATACTATATGGCATTCTCTGTTCCGTATAGCAGGAACGGTAATCAACCAAGATCACAGCACTTAGGCTCCATTAAGCATAGTCCTTCCCAGGGTGTCACTCAGGTCTGGATCGTCAGCCAACCCAAACAATTGAAAAATCTGGTGATTTGACCTAGCGGAGGTTCCCTTACACTAGCCATAGGAGGCCAGCGTTCCCTCAGAATGGATTCTCAGAATGATAGAACAGTTGGGCAGTGGTCAACCAAGTACTTGACTGTCTCATCTTTCTGTTCAGATCTCCGAATGGATGTTTGACCCAGTCTCATGTTATAGACAGGTGGTTTGTTGCCACTTCCTCACTAGGATATCTGAGGAATTCTTTAGCGAATGATCAGCCCGATGTTCTCGAATATTTTGAAGGTATATTCTTTAGGCATAGTTGTCATTTGGTATGTCGTAAATGACATATTATGCAAGTTGAATGATGATTTAAAGTGAAATTATTTTACACGTTACTATTAAAATGGCCAGCAAAAACCTTATTTTAATACGGAGAGTTTTTGAAAAATATGCTTTCTACAAAAAGTTGCCATTGGTACAATTTATCGAACCAGTTCGTTAAGTTGTACTACGCGGTATGTAAACTGTACTTTACCAGAAAGCATTAGGTTTTAATTGTAAATTAAACGATATATTTAGTAAACATACACACACAGATGTGATCTCTGTGATTAGGGACATAGGTGAGGCAAAATATTACTCTAACCGTTAACATAAGATATAAATCGAAAAGTTCCTGAGATATGTGAGATTGAAGATATGAGGTGTTTAGATAAATCACCCTGTATAAATCGTAATCGTAAATAACAAATCTATACCTTTTGTATTTGCATATATGAAAAGGTCTCTGTTGTCCTACAATCTACCATTTCACTATGTCCGTTTAAGTATACGATACTTAGATAAAAACAAAAGTAAATTTAAACTATCCGTTGGATTGAGTTGATTAACCAGGCCTTAGCATGAATAAAGCGTTTCCAATAGAAAAATATACTTACAAAAAATTAGCCATACGAGCCGAAGACAAGGTTGTCTATTGAATAAAGTTACAAAAAGCATGTATTTCTATGTCCTGAAATGGCATTATGCAGGGTGGCGCATCGAAAACGAAACAGACGCATTTACTGGCAGCTCAGTTTTTTTTTTGAAAAACGCTCAGACCCGTCGATTTTGTTTTCGAGGGGGACACAAGTTTGGCAAAAAATCACGATAGCACGTGCAGCCCCCTAAGCGGGGGTGACACCACCCCCTAAATCTTAAATGGAAAGGGGGGTCGAGTGATACCTTATTTTAAAGGTATTTCAATTCCCTTTATAATGATATAATATGAATGTACTTCAGTTCAGTAGTTTTGAAGATTTATTGATTTAAAGCTTAAATAAAACTAATACACCATCATTAGTGGAGATCAATGATCAATACCTTTGGCAGCAAAATAATTTAAAAATGAAGAATGAACTGACCCGTTAGGTAAGTATATGTTGAAAATGGCCACCATGACTCTCCATGAAATAATAAAGATTTTGCTCAAAACGTTGCCGCACATTTTGCAATATTTGAGGAGTAATTTGAAGGCACTCATTCACAATTCTTTGTCGCAGGTCTTCTAATGATGTTGGCTGAGTAGCATAGATTTTGCTTTTTAAATGACCCCAAATAAAGAAATCCAAAGGTGATAAATCTGGCGATGTTGGGGGTCATTCAATAGCACCTCTTCTACCAGTCCATCGATCTGGAAACGTCTGATCTAAATATTGTCGAACACGTAATGCGTAATGTGGTGGGGCACTGTTGGAACATCAACCTATTCGCAATCATTCTGATTTTCAATTATGACTGTTAATGCAGGATCTATGGCGTCTTCCAGTAATTCCAAATACATTTCACCGGTCAAATTTCCAGGTAAGAAAAAAGGACCAACTAAATGATTGCCAAAAATAGCAGCCCATACATTTAATTTTTGTGGCTGCTGTGTATGAACCTCATCATAAATTCTGGAATTAGAATCGGACCAATATCGGCAGTTATGACGATTTACTACGCCATTTAAGAAAAAGGAACATTCGTCGGAAAAGCAAGTGTTGAATAGAAAATGTTCATCGTTTATAATTCGTCCACTCATATCTTCACAAAATTGTAATCGCCGATCAAAATCGTCTTCATTAAGTTGTTGTACCAGGTGAATTTTATACGGATGAAAACTATGGGCCTTTAGAATCCGTCGACTAACACCACACACAGTCTCCAATTTGCGGGTACTTAACGTAGGATTTACATAAACTTGCCCTAAAACCCCCACTTCTATTGCTTCGTTCCTTATGGGATTTTCAATGTTGTGTTTTTTATTGGCGACTGACCCAGTTTCCCGAAATTTAGCTACAAGTTCTAGAAAATATTTTCGATGCACATTACTGTTCTCATGTCGCTCATTGAATAAGTCTGCTGTTCTATTAGCGCACTGATTATTTCCGAAAAATATTTCGATAATTTCAACTCTTTCTGCTGAGGAATATACCATGGTTAATTTATGTAATAAAGCGTTACAAGTTATTTTAGCAACAAAGTTTGGTCAAATCAATCGCAAACTATGTACTAAATTCCTATTTAAAATAAGTACGAGATATTTCCTTATCTTTCTTCAAGAAATAACTTTTTTGCCACAAAAAAACGCTCCAATAGCTATTTTCAACAACAAAATGATAAACAAACCATGGGCGTAGTGAAGACGAGCATTTACTTATTAAGTAAACTCTTTTAGTCAAATTGCTTCTGAAAGTAGTTCAGACTAATCTGATGTACCTATTAAAGTCTACTTTAAGCTTTAATTCAATAAATCTTCAAAACTACTGAACTGAAGCTCATGTATTTTACATCATTATAAAGGGAATTGAAAGACCTTTAAAATAAGGTATCACTCGACCCCCCTTTCCATTTAAGATTTTAGGATTGGTGTCACCCCCGCCCAGGGGGCTGCACGTGATTTTTTGCCAAACTTGTGTCTCCCTCGAAAACAAAATCGACGGGTCTGAGCGTTTTTCCAAAAAAAACTAAGCTGCCAGTAAGTTTGTCTATTTCGTTTTCGATGCGCCACCCTGTATAGCTTAAATATTGATCTTTCCTTCTGCACAATTGCTACTCCAGTCGATCCATTTTTGTAGATGCTGTGGGAGTTTTCGTATCTCCATGTCACACCAGCTCAGTGCCAGGTCTTTAAGAAAGCACTGAACCCCATTTTTCACCCATTGGTCAAACCTTAATTGCCTTCACAATTGTTTTTTCAACTTGGGAATCACACGGTGCCAACTCCGCACTACATGATTGTTGGGTGAAGCTCTCCGAATCCAAACTGCAGAAGAGCAACCGTTTGGCGCATGATATG